TTGACCGGCACTGGGATGTATGCATTAATATGCGTCAAACACGTCACATCCAAATCAAATTCGTGCATTGTTTGCAATCATATTGTCTGCCTGCTTTCCGTCATCTTAAACAGAGTTATGGGAGAAATATAAATCGCACTTAGCTTAAGATATTGTCCGTCGAATACACAAGGAAAATTCAAATATGAACATGGATTTCACAGCAGAAATCTACAGCGAAGCGTTGATAATGATTAAGGATTTGTGCTTAGAAATTGCGAACAAAGTTCTCAATCAATTGGGAATGCCGTCACAAAATCGATCTGCTGGTGCTTCGTTCGACGTAGAATTGCGTCGTGAACAAAATTACAACACGGGTGATCTGTTGTTGTATGTGCAATCAAATATTCCTAGGCTAACGCTTGAGCAAAAAGGCATTTACGATCAAATAATTCAAATTGTCATTAACAGGCTTGGAGAAATCTTCTTAGACGCGCCAGGAGGAACTGGTAAAACCTTCCTAATTAGATTGATTCTGGCGGCAATTCAATCACAAAACGGCATAGCCTTAGCTCTTGCATCGTCCTGAAGAGCTGCGACATTGCTACTAGGATGAAGAAGAACTGCTCATTCGGCTTTGAAGTTGACATAGAACATGAAATTCATTGAAACTACCACATGCAACATTTCCAAAGCATCCGGCATGGGAAAAGTATTGCAGAAATGCAAACTTATTGTTTAGAGTGAATGCACAATCGACTACAAAAAATCGCTCGAGGCTCTTGATCGATCATTGCAAGATTTGGGTGGAAACATCAGACCATTTGGGAATACATTAATATTGCTTGCAGGAGCAATATTGCTTGATCTTTAACGTGCTGTGTTGCTCTTTCGCCTTTGTTTCTTCCTTGTTCTCTGTTGTTGTCCTTTCTCTTCTCGTCGATGTCTATTCTTCAATGGAACGTTCGAGGTTATTACGCCAATTTCATTGAACTCCAACTTCTGATTTCGCAGTTTTCGCCCCTTTGTGTCTGTCTCCAGGAGCCGATGCTTGGTGCTCGTCCTGGTCGCTTTCGTGGCTATTCCTTTTCCTCCCCCCCCCCCCCCAGCTGTTGCTGGGGCTCCTAATTCATCTGCTCTCCTGATTCGCTATGATGTTCCCTTTGTCCCCTTACTTTTTCCTTCGCTTCTCCATTGTTCTGCTGCTCGTATCTTTGTGGGGAAATTGTACACAGTTTGTTCCATTTATCTCCCGCCGAGTGTCCCGCTTTCTCTTCCTGATCTGAAACACCTACTGGACTCCTTGCCGGAGCCTGTGCTCCTGTTGGGTGACTTCAGTTGTCGTCATTCCCTTTGGGGTGACGTTCTGACGAACACCCGGGGTCACCTTCTTGAGCCGTTTAGCCTCTCTTCTTCCCTGTCTCTTCTGAATTTTGGTGAGCCCACGCATTTGGGCTCTCAGACTCGCACCCTTTCTTGTCTTGATCTTTCTCTCTGCTCTTCTTCTCTTTACTTAGATTTCATGTGGCAGGTTCTTGATGACCTCCATGGAAGTGATCATTTCCCCATCCTTGTTACCTTTTTGTCTTTTCGCCCTCCCATCTCCTTCTCTAGGTGGCAGTTTGCTAAAGCGGACTGGAACCTATTTACCCTCAGTGCTGCTCTCTCTGACCTCTCCTTTCTGCCTCTCCCTCGCTCTCTCCTCCTTTTTCATGACACTGTCTTCAACGCTGCCCTCCGCTCTATTCCTCGCTCTTACTCTCGGGGTCCACAGAAGTGCGTTCCCTGGTAGAATGCGGACTGTACTCGGGCTGTCCGCTGTAAGCGTGCGGCCTGGAAGAGGCACCGCCGTAGGCAGACGACCGATTCTTTTCTTTTCTTTCAGAAGGCGAGTGCGGTGGCCCGTAGGGCCATCCATACGTTTAAACGTAAATGTTGGGCGTCTTATGTCTCCACCATTACATCCGAAACTCCTCTGCCACAGGACTGGAAGCGTATCCGCACGACAGCGGGTAAGTTCATTCCCGATGTTTCACCGGTCCTTCACCTCCGCGGTACTCTTGTGGTGGATCCGTTGCAGGTTGCTTTCGAATTGAGTTCCCACTTTTCTTCTCTTAGCTTTGGTCTTTATCTTCCTCAATCTTTCCTTCTTCGTAAACCTGTCCTTGAATCTCATCCTTTCGATTTCTGCACTTGTCTTCGACTTCCCTATAACGATCCCTTCTCTCTCTCTCTGAACTTCGTTCTGCTCTGACCCTCTGCGGTTCTACGGAGCGGGCTCAGATAGCATTCATTATGAGATGCTTCGCCATCTCCCTCCGTGCACGTCTCAGTATTTACTGAGTCTGTATAATCGGATCTGGGAGTCGTCGTCAGTCCCTGAGGACTTGCTCGATGCCGTTGTCCTCCCTGTTCGCAATCCAAGGTCTCTGGGAACATCCCCTAAGGACTTTCGCCCTAATACCCTTACAAGTTGTGTCTGCAAACTCTTTGAACGTATGGTTAACGTTCGTCTGATGTGGTTTCTGGAACACCATCACCTCCTCTCCCCTTCTCAATTTGGTTTCCGCAAGTGCCGCAGCACGACAGATGTCCTGGTGAACTTGGAGGTCTATATTCGTGCTGCTTTTGCTGCGAAGACCTCCGTTGTTGCCGTCCTTTTTGACCTAGAAAAGGCTTACGACACCACTTGGCGTTATCATATTCTATCTCAACTTCATTCTTTTGGTCTACGTGGTCATCTCCCTCTCTTTCTCCGCAGCTTCCTCTCTCGTCGTTTCTTTCGGGTGCGCCTTGGTACCGCGCTCTCTGCCTCTTTTCAGCAATACGAAGGTGTGCCCCAGGGTAGTGTTCTGAGCACTACTCTTTTTCTGGTTGCCCTCAATGGTCTTCTTTCCTCTCTTCCTTCAGGCGTCTTCTCCGCTCTCTATGTCGATGATCTTACCCTTTGCTGTCAGGGTGATGATTCGCCTCTCCTTCAATGCCGGCTTCAACTTGCGATTGATGCCATGTCGTCTTGGGCCACCGATCATGGCTTCAAGTTCTCTTCTACTAAGACTTGTGCCATGACTTTTACTCGGAAACGGGTCGTTCTTCGTCCCTCTTTGTCACTTTATGGTCATCCCCTTGAATACAAAGATTCCACAAAGCTTTTGGGGTTATTCTTTGACACTCGTTTGTCTTGGTCTCCCCATATCTCTTACCTCCGTGTAGAGTGCTCTAAGGCCCTTACCCTCCTTCGGGTATTGTCCCATACTTCTTGGGGAGCGGATAGGCGCACTTTCCTTCCTTTACATTCCTCTCTCGTCCTGTCTAAGCTCGATTATGGTTGCCCTGCTTACTCGTCTGCTTCTCCTTCTACTCTTCGCCGTCTTGATGCTTTGTACCATAATGGGTTGCGCCTCAGTTCTGGTGCCTTTCGTTCGACTCCCGTCCTCAGCTTGTATGTTGACACTGGCTTCCTGTCTCTCCAGGACCGCCGTGATCGCTACTGCCTTCACTATCTTGCACAGACCATGCAACATCCTTCCTCTCGCCTCTGTCGTGCTTTAACTTTTACCCCTCCTGCGGTTCCTGTTCCTCTTCACCACCTCCCTCTTTCTGTCCGGTTATCTTGCTTACGGGATTCTCTTTCCGTTTGTATTTCTAATATTTCTCTTTGTGTTGTTCCTTCTTTGCCCCCGTGGAGAGTCCCCCTTCCGCAGTTTTGTACATCCTTGACCCACATCACAAAAGCTTTTATCCCTCCTACAGTTCTAAAACGCCTTTTCCTTGAGCACTTTTCTTCTCACTCCCACTCCGTTTCCGTCTTCACTGATGGGTCTAAGTCTGCGGACGGTGTTGGCTACTCTTCTATTTCCTGATCATACTTATGTGTCGCTTACCTCCGGAGACCAGCATCTTCACAGCAGAGCTTTATGCTATTAACTATGCTCTTCATCTCCTGCTCTCTCGTTGTCAGTCTTTTTTTGTAGTTGTTGTTTGTTGGCTCTCATAGTGCCCTCATGGCTCTCAAGTCCTTTAATCCGGTTCATCCAGTAGTTGTCGAGATCCAGCATTGGCTGTTTCTTGTTCACAGTAAATTTAAGTCAGTTGAGTTTTGTTGGGTTCCCAGCCATATTAGTGTGTCTTTAAATGAGCGTGCAGATGCTGCCGCCAGGAAAGCTGTCCGCTCTTGTCCCATCTCTCGTAAAGGTATTCCTTATTCCGACTTTTACCCGGTTATCCATTCCTCCATCCTTACCTGTTGGCAGGCTTGTTGGTCGTCTGTTACTGGTAACAAACTACGTACTCTTAAAGGTTGTGTCCTCGTGGCCGTCCTCCTACCACCGTAACCGGCAATGGGAAACGGCTCTGGCGAGGTTGCATATTGGCCATACTTGCTTAACTCATGGTCACTTGATGGAGCGCCGCCCTGCTCCTTATTGTCCTAATTGCATTGTCCCTCTTACGGTCGTGCATATCCTTGTTGAATGTCCTGACTTCTGGGACGAGTGTGTGTCTGGTTTTCTGATCGACCCCCGCGGTCGTTTGTCTCTCGATAGTATTTTTGGTGACTCAAATACTTTTGATATCTTTCGCCTTATGCGTTTCTGTTCTCGTATTGGTGTCCTTGGTGATATTTAGCGCCCTCTGATTATCCCGCACATTTGATGGTACTTCTGAGACACTTGGCGCCTGGAGTTAGAGTGCCACCAGTTTTTTGAAGGAACTGGGTTCTAGGGTAATTGAAACAAGAGATCTAAGAGCTGCCAGCTTCCTTTTCCAGCACCTCAGCTTGGCGATACAAAGGGGAAATGCACACAGGGTTCCTGCCCGCCATCTGAGGAGCTGGAGGAACTCGACAACTTATGACAATCATCTTTGTACCATATATGTAATTCCTTTTTTGTAGCAAAGTTTAAATAAAACAAATATAGATGTATATATACAAAAGCATATCATAAACTTTAAAATGGTGAAAATAATGTCAACTAAAGACGACCAACTCTATACAAAACTCAGTGTATAGTCCAACAAACCTGTCCAGTGAAGGGAAGATAAGGCTTGAGGAAGTCTTCCTTCCCGACGTTTATGAAGATTATTGCAGTGTTGTGTATTGTTATCTTCTTGTATACATTAAACACTTCTCCAGTTCCGTTCTCCACCACAGTGGCGTTCACATACAAGATTTTACCATACAGAAACTTCACGTTCGTCTCTGGAGACGCAGCTAAAATTTCAATATCTTTGCAGCCAAAAATCTGTAAGTAATGTTGATTATTACACAGACAGCATGATATTGATGGATCTTAATATAAATACATATAAATTGTCTAGTAGATGTTATTGTGGGAATACTTCCCATATAACCTATAAATTCTTAACTTCCTGGTGATATAAAATTTAATATGTTTATGAGCTATTAATAAGTTACCATCGATTATGATACATGACAACACCACATCAGTGAGGAGCGTCTCATAACCTCAGTTTCCAACAAGTAATTTCCATGTTAAAATAAGTGTTGCTTACATTTAGTGTTGTAGCCCAAAACACAATGTAGTGTGTTGACAAGTACAGGAGTGACGACGTAGCAGTATACAACAAGCGGTTCACCACTTAGGAGACGACATTACCACATGTGGCCCTCAATGTTTGGCTCACGTGAATGTGTCCCAACTTATCTACACTTCTTTTTCAGCGAAGCTTACATTACCATTTTTAGTAGAAATATTTAACTAATTAATTTACTCCACGGAGTATATATTTAATTATTTTAATTAACATATAAGGAATATATATTATTGCAACTAACAAGGCAAAACACAACGTTTCTTTCTAGGCAATTAACTATGCATAAACGACAGGGATCCATCAAGGAGCATATAATCTCCTCACACAACCAGACCATCACCAGAGAAATCTTAACAAGCAACACAGAAATTCTCGACAGATACAACGGTAACAGGAGATTCGACACCAGCGAGGCCCTACACATTAAAAAGTCAAAACCAGCAATCAACAGCCTATTAACACATAATTACATTCTTCCCTCTTCAAGACCCCAAACCAGCACAGAAGCAAGAAGATAAAATGTATACCCATGGCTATATAACCATTGTATATACCCATTGTTTCGTGTTCTGTCTTTTCCCATTGATTTGTTTCCTGTCACCTCACCCAAAAACGAATATAATCATGAATCGGCGTACATAAATTTTACCTTTGAAAATGTAAGAAGTCTCTTGCGAAATGTCTCTGGGCGTCAGACCATAAATAAAAATGTGAAAATGAACTTTGGAGAGTTAATTTTTAAATTACCCTCGAAAGTGAAGAAAAACGTCAGAAATATTGAGAAGATTCGTGTTAGAATCATTAATCTTATCCTTTCGATCATATTCAACAACATATGTTTACAAGAAAGACTGCGACCAAAATATGCTAATATTAAAACACATGACCCAGCAGCAAGAAACCAAGCTTTCACGATAAAATATCGCCAAGATCTGATTCGAAATCAGATACACATGGCAGAAAATGAGATCAACGATAGCAAAGGGTACCTTCTTCATGTTACAGAGCAATGGAGACACACCAACATCGACAAGGACCTCCGTACTCGAATCCACCAACACCTCGACATCCTTACAGATCGACATCGCCACAGCACTGAAACCAGTATCATCAAGAAACTGACAACATTATTCGGAGGACCTATGGCGATTCCTCGACCCAGAGATGACTTCTTAAACTTTCCTGAAATCAACTAGACTGAGGACCAAATCACTCTCTTGAATCTGGGTATAAACTGTCACGTTATGTCCAGACCAAGTGAGATGGCCCGGAAAGTGGAGTTGGAGATCCTATTGGACGATATTTTCGACCTCGTGAGGCAAAAGAAGGTTACCACTAAAGACAACTTGCAAGCAGAACTTATTGCAAAAGGAGAAAAGTTTCGAGGTAACTACGGAAGCAACATACGGTCCCCCGAGCTCAAAGCAGCAGGTAAGAGCCTTCGTGACAATAAGGAGACAGTCGTTAGTAGAGGTGACAAGTCGCCAATATACGTTATTCTTAAAAAAAAAGACGAATATCTGGCAAAAATTAATTGAAACAGATAAACAGACTGATTGAAACTCTGAATGCCAAGAAATCTGGACTCCACCTGTCAAAGGTTATTGGGGAAAACTAGTCTGGTTATACTTATGGGAATGTCATGACCCACAAACCCGGAAATCCACCTCGGCAAATCATCAACCAGATACCCACACTCACAATCAGACTGGCCAAGCGATGCAGCTGCCTACTGACTCCTTATGTGCCTTGTGCTTTCAGCCTGAAGCCTCCAAAGGAATTTGTTGACTTGTTGCGGGAAAGCACCGGCCACAGGGATGAGAGCCTCTCTGGATGTGGAGTTGCTGTTTACTAACGTGCCCGTGGATGAAACAATCAGGATGATGACCAGACCACACACTAGAAGTTGAAGGGACGACGACGACAATCAGGATGATGATGAACAGAGTACATCGTGATCCGGCTTGTACCCCTTTAGACTTACCCGAGAGCATACAAAGGAAGTTACTCAAACCTTGCACCAAAGAGGCACCCTTCTTGAGTCCCGATGGTCACATGTATTAGCAAGTAGATGTGGTTGCCATGGGTTCTCCCCATAGGTGTCCTGTTAGCGAATTTTTACATGGGTACCATAGAGCAGAGGGGTCTCAGTTGATATGGACTTAAAACCTGCCATATACTGCAGGAATATTGACGACATATTTATGCAGGTAACTGATGTCGGATGTTTGCAGCAGTTGAAGGAGGCATTCGAGCAAATTTCCGTGTTAAGTTTCACTTATAAGATGGGTGATGGGAAGCGGCCCTTTCTAGATGTAACAGTCTCGGAAAGGAATGGAGGCTTTCACACTGCAGTCTACACTAAGGAAACGAACATAGGAATGTCCCTTAAGGCTAACAGTGACTGAAAAATGTAAAAAGGAACTTTGGAGAGTTAATTTTTCAACTTCCTTTAACTGTGAACAAAAACGTAAGAAATAATGAGAAAATTTGTGTTAGAATCATTAATCTTACCGTTGCGGTCATATTCAACAACATACGTTTGCAAGAAAGACTGCTAAAAACATATATACTAATATATATTTTTACGATAATCTCCTGCACCATTCCTTTTCCCCCATACTATCCCAAATCCTTATCCTGACCCCTTCCCAGTGCTATATAGTCATAATAGCTTGGCACTTTCCCTTGATAACTCTATTCCATTCCTGCCTAGCAGTTGATCCTGCCTGTTCTTTTACCACCTACTCAACAATGTATCTGAATGCTCCAACATCAAGATTCAACATCAACGACAACAACAATACATGCCCAAAAGTATTGTCTAGACACACCTCCTTCCCCCTCCATCCTTCAGTACCAGTTACACCTGCACCGACTTTCTCGCCGGTTGACCACACGCCACCAGTTAACGACCACTCTTGATCGTTTAACTGCCAGCTTCTTATTAAAACTCCAGAATTCGCGCCAACTATGACGTCATGCCCCGTATATAAGGGCTTGACAGCGTCCAGCACAGCAGATTACCCTTCGAGTGCTCACAGCTGTAGCATCTACTCTCACCCCCCGGGTGACGGTAGACGCACATAGCATTTTGTATAAAGTATTACTTACACCTTTGTTATTAACATAAATTTCACATGAGCATATTTCCCTTTTGAATGTGTTTTAGCCAAGTAACTAAGGGGTCTTAATTTCATTAATTGTTACTTAACATTTTGGGTAAAATATAGAAATTTTTTGTTATATTAAATGTTTGAAGTTTTTATTCTCTTTGTTTTTTACCAGCCGCTCTCACACCATAGAGGTATCAAGCAGTTTTTCTTTACTTTTTTTATTAATGTGCGATTAGCACAACACCTGCCAGAATAGTTACTGCTCTATTCCAGATTCTCATCACATTAACGTCGGGGGCCTGTCCTAGGAGTCTTGCTCAGGTAATGCTCCTAGATCCTTGACTTAAAGTTGTGTTAGTTGTACTTGGTAAACACATGTTTGTTTTTTCAGAACTCCTTTTTAAGTGTTTTTTGGTGCCTAATACTTTATACATTTCAGGTGTAGCAATTTTTGACTGTTAGATTGACTTTAGATTATGTAGGTGTTTTATGCACAAATTCATACTCGTAATGGTTAGTGATCTAATAATTTTTGCTATATCCTGTGTTTTCAATCTTATTCTCGTCCCTACAGAAGAGTTTCTCACTCAGGCATATCACCCATTCGAGTACTCTGGTACTTTGGTCTGTCTCCGGGCTATTACGATCAAATCTTTGCATTCCGAACGTGCGAGGATGTACTGGACTTTAGTTCCTTACGCATCCAGGACTTCACTGTACGTTTGGGACATGTACAGCAGTTCTTGTCACTGTTGACACTCTCCGCACCCCTGCACTTTCAGTCAGAGATCGTAATACTTACAAAGGTAGGGGGTTTATCATTCTTTTTCAGAGAACAAAGAATTGTAATTCTGTAAGTATTACCTAGTTTCAGAAGGACACCTCTTGCCCTTATCCTCGTTATTTATAGAGTAGCGGGTATAGAAATCTCTACATTCCTTTGTACTACCTCGAAACATTTTGCTTCACTGTTCATGATTTATTAATTAATCCATTTAATTATTGTAACCTTACCTTATAAACATTATAATCATAGGATAGTTTAAAGTTGCCAGACTTGACACATTATCTTGTCAATCTAACAACCCGTGTATCGGTTCACTTGCAGAAAGATAATCTCTGTATTTTGCTTATCTCAGAATTCATTAACAATGTTTAGACTCATTCGTGCCACCAAGGTGGAACTGCTGACACTCATTGCTGAGTATCATATCACTCCTCCTCATGGAGCAAGTAAAACTGATCTCCATAATAAGATTCTAGATTTCCTGGTCATCAGCGACCGAAAAACATCGGCGGAGCATGAACAACATCCAATTGCAGACAGGACCGCCCTGACGACCATGAAGTTGAAGATCGAACTAGTCAACATAGAACGTGACCATCAGTAGGAAGCTCTTCAGGTAAGAGAACGGGAAGCTGCCCTCCAGAGAGAACAACTTGATCTTAAACGAGAACGTGAAAAGTAGCAAGCCGCCCTCTAGAAGGAACAAATTGAACCTCAACTTCAAGTCGCTGAACAACGAGCTGCATTGGAACGTGAACGCGATCAAGAGAGATTAGAGCTCCGA